TTTGCCTTTTATTTGCACGCTTTAACTGTAAAGCACTATTTGGCATTTGTATTCAGCATTTCACATTTTATGTAACAAAAGTTGTGTTTAGTTAGACAACATAACACTCTTCTTAACATTCTATTTGACAGTTTTGGTGTGTGGGGAAAATAGATTTTTTTTTTTTACTTAATCAACTATTTTACCAAAAAATCTTTTTGGTTTAAAAATTTGCTTTCAAGATGCAGTTTGTAGCAATAACCAAATAAAGTTTTGATTATCAAAAATTTGTATGAATAAATGTATAAGCTCATAGGCTAAGTTCGTATCTAAACACTGCATCTTAAAAGGAAAATCCAATATAATAATGAGTGATATATTTGAATATTGTCCTCTAACTTGTTTTATCAAGCAGTTCATTGTGTTATTTCAAACTGTTTTGTGTTTCTGATCTTTGTATGTTTGAAAACCAAAAATATTTTATAGTAGTAAAATGTAGTTGTTTTCTTTTATAGTTGAAATAAGCCAGAAATAAGTCATTAAATAGTTTCTGCTGGATTTAATCAATTTTTAGGTGAGTTGACTGCTTACTGTATGGGGCCAAACAAAGTAGCTTACTGTGAGCTCAGTGATCATCATGATGGCACCTACAGGCTGGTAGTTCGGCCACAGGAAACTGGTAAACATGTGTTACAGATCAAATATGGTGGAGAACATGTGCAAGGTTAGTTCCCTTTTATAAAAGTATACATTACATTTGTTATGTTTCCTTTCTAAAGCTAAAAAAAAGATTTTTCATGGAAACTTTTATTATGGTGTGTAGAACATTTGACTCTGTTACTTATGTAAAACAATTAAACTTTTACTTATTTTATGCCTATACTCAATTCATATTACTCTAGACCTCTAACATCTATGCTACATTTATTTCTAAGTTTCTTCCCTTATTGTTCCCTTACTACTATGTAATTTAAATTATGCTAAAATCAGCCACCCCAATGGCTCCATGTTCTACACAACCATCTGTTCCCATCCTTTTTTTTTTCTCATCTATACATGAAAGGACCAACATTTCTGTTCTTAATATGAAAACTGGTGTTTTGAAAGAAATAAACTAAACTACTTAAATATACCTGGCTGAACTATTTTAGTGTGCCTGGTTATGTGCAATATTCTAAAATTACTTTAAGTATTTCCTGATATTGGGCAATATATATTTTGTTTTTCAAAGGAAGCCCATATGCTTTCAAGGTAACAGCACAGCCTGATGCATCTAAAGTAAGAGTTAGTGGCCCTGGTGTTGAACATGGTATCTTGGCAACCTTCCAAAGCCAGTTTATTGTAGAGACTAAAGGTGCAGGAGCTGGGCAGCTGACTGTCAGAATTAGAGGACCAAAAGGTTTAGCTATATTATCATTTTTTAAAAGTAATTCTAGAGACTTTTTCTCTAACTCATACCCACCCACACAGTAAGTGATTGATACCTTGTCTATTCTTGTATATATCATAGCTTGTCTATTCTTGTATATATCATAGCTTGTCTATTCTTGTATATATCATAGCTTGTCTATTCTTGTATATATCATAGCTTGTCTATTCTTGTATATATCATACCTTGTCTATTCTTGTATATATCATACCTTGTCTATTCTTGTATATATCATACCTTGTCTATTCTTGTATATATCATACCTTGTCTATTCTTGTATATATCATACCTTGTCTATTCTTGTATATATCATACCTTGTCTATTCTTGTATATATCATACCTTGTCTATTCTTGTATATATCATACCTTGTCTATTCTTGTATATATCATACCTTGTCTATTCTTGTATATATCATACCTTGTCTATTCTTGTATATATCATACCTTGTCTATTCTTGTATATATCATACCTTGTCTATTCTTGTATATATCATAGCTTGTCTATTCTTGTATATATCATAGCTTGTCTATTCTTGTATATATCATAGCTTGTCTATTCTTGTATATATCATACCTTGTCTATTCTTGTATATATCATACCTTGTCTATTCTTGTATATATCATACCTTGTCTATTCTTGTATATATCATACCTTGTCTATTCTTGTATATATCATACCTTGTCTATTCTTGTATATATCATACCTTGTCTATTCTTGTATATATCATACCTTGTCTATTCTTGTATATATCATACCTTGTCTATTCTTGTATATATCATACCTTGTCTATTCTTGTATATATCATACCTTGTCTATTCTTGTATATATCATACCTTGTCTATTCTTGTATATATCATACCTTGTCTATTCTTGTATATATCATACCTTGTCTATTCTTGTATATATCATACCTTGTCTATTCTTGTATATATCATACCTTGTCTATTCTTGTATATATCATACCTTGTCTATTCTTGTATATATCATACCTTGTCTATTCTTGTATATATCATACCTTGTCTATTCTTGTATATATCATACCTTGTCTATTCTTGTATATATCATACCTTGTCTATTCTTGTATATATCATACCTTGTCTATTCTTGTATATATCATACCTTGTATATTCTGAATTGACTTTTTTCTTTTTTTTTTTTTATATAAACATTTTGACTTAAAAATTGATTACCTGTTTATTTATTAAGAATCTTGGTCTGTATAGCCAATTATTTTTTCTTTTGTGATTTGAACTTCTTAAATTCTTTCTATTACTTCCGTCAGGTCATGAAAATTCATTTTATCTTAGTTCTAGCTACAACACCACTTCTACAGTAGTATTTCTGTTCTCATAGAGACTTTGACTTGTTTTAATTTTTTTAAATAATGAGTTACTCCTGTTAACAAATTTTCAATCTTGTTTTTACTCTACAGGAGCCTTTCAGGTCGAGATGTACAGAGAAAGTCAGAAAGACAGAACTATTTTATGTAGATATTACCCATCAATCACTGGGCTTTACATAATCAATGTCCGGTAAATAGTTTTATTAAATAGTTTAAAATCTGGGACTGAATACAGTTGTAAAAGTTTTTTTAACATTCAGTATTTTTGTTTACAAAATATTTCATTATCTACAATATTATAAAAAATATTTGTAGTGTCCAATGAAATTTCTTGCAAAAAATTTGAAGAACTGTTTATTAAAATACACAATTTTTTTTAAATTTCTGTAAGAACTATATTGACCTCAGTGTGTGACAACAATGTCTGAAAGAATTCAACTTTTGCTTAAAGTACTTGAAAACAAAAAGAATTAACATTTTTTTGAGAAAGGAAAAAATCTTATTTTGATAATATCTATTTTGGATGTCATTACATTTTTAACTGAGAGTACTGAAAATAATTTCTAATTAAGATTTGAGTAAACATTTTGTAAACACTTAATAACAGTAACCACTGGGCACTGAAATAGCATATGCCTTATATAAATGTAAAATTACTTGACAACATTTCTTCATAGTTGCTGAATTCAAAACAGTCCTATTGACAATCCTTACATTTTAGTCAAGGTTGGCCTACAAAATTTATTGTAGACATTTTTTTTGTAAAAAAAATGTTTTAAAATTCTGTTTATAAAATATTAAAAAGCTTTGTCTTTATCATCTTTAATCAGTTGGTCAGGGGTCGACGTACCTGGATCACCATTCCATGTTCAGATTCTAGACACACAGCAGGAACTGGAGCAGGTCCTTCATGAGCAGAGCTTCAGCAGTAGTGGTGGCCGCCATCACATGGTCTCTCACTCTAGCAACAGCTTCCACAACACCAGCCTTAACAGCTCCAACCAGTTGCGATACTCCACAGGCCCTCCCAACGGCCAGCACCACAACATTAGCCGGTCAAGTGGCTACTATCATCAGTGGAGAGAGGATATGTAATAGTGATGTTGATGACATTTGATAACTACACTTAATGCATGATAAATATGTAACAGTTCAGACTAACTTGTTAGTATAGAATTGTAAAACATATTTCTCATGATGTATTACTTAATAAAGATTTATGCTATTGTAGAAACTAATAAAAACTTATCAGAAAAGAGTTTATTAACAAAAGTAATCATGTGATAAATTGTACACATTCCTAATAATTCTCAATATTTCATGTTTTTTTTTGTGTTTTTTTTTTGTTTTTTTTGGATACTGTTGAAAATAAATAAATTTGTAGAATTCTAATCACTTTATGTTTATGCTTTAATTATTGGTACACTCAAATTAATATTCTATTCACAATTAAAAACTTTATCTACATCTTAATTATTGATATAAATAAACATTCCTGTGTATTTGACATTGTTATTATTTATTGTATAACAGTTAAATACATTGCCATATTGACTTGTGATGTGTCATGGTTAAGTTAAGTAAGTAGGCCACAACTTTTGTGTAAATTTCTTTATTTGTTGTTATTATATATTTTGTTATTGCTTTGGTTTATATTTTTGCATTTAAATTATGGTACACAGAGTAGCCTGCCTGGCACATCTTTAAAAACAGACCAGCATTTTTTTAATTTTAAATTTCAATCAATCGTCTTAGGTTTAAAAAAAATAAATTATAATTTAAATATGTTTTAAATACTTTATTAAACTATAAAGCCTTTCTAAAAAAAAGGTTTACCTTTATACTATTTGGCTTTTTTTCTATTACTACTTCTTGTATTAAAGTTTACTATCCTCCTTGATGTAGAGGATTAATTTCTACTTTTTATGCTCATTACCAAGACAACACAAATTGTACCAAATCAATCAAATAAATATTTGTTATATCTTATGTTATAATAATAATTTTTTTTATTTGTAGTTATAAGTATATTAGCATTTACTTGTACTTATTGTATCAGAATTACTAGACTAATACAACAGCCTTATACAGTTTGGTGTAAACATGAAACAAATATGTGTTAATATTTTTGTGTTGTGTTTTGACTCTATTGACTATACAAGTAAACTGATTTAGATTTTACTCAGTTATTTAATTTATGAAGGGTAAGTAGCTACTATATTGATATATATATATATATATATATGCGCCAAGTAACTACAGGAACAATATGTGTGGTTATGTGCAGTCTGAATGCTTGAGACTTTCAACTTATATAATTCTAAGAATTGAATTCAAATTGTGGGTGTTGGGATCAAAGAAATACCTGATAGACACATTTCCACAATACAAATCTGTTTAGGATGAAGTTGACTTATACATGACTAACTAGGACTTTGCATTGAAATATTATTGTTAAACAAATAGATCTACATTAGACATGCCTACAGATTTGTTTTGAAACTAAAATCAATTAAGGTTATTAGTAGAAATGAAAAGGACAAATTTCTTAACTGGGATTTAGTTTATTATATACGCATTTTAATTTTTAAAAAATGTTGAATATATTTAGTGATGTAGTTAAGTGCAAGACAGGTAACTAGACACTGTTCATATCATTGAAGATTTAGATAAAACTGTTCCATGTAACACTGTGTATTCTTTTCTAAAACTAAAGTAATAAAATGTAAATGATCAACAATTTTCAATTTCCTTTGGGAAACATATTTTTCTTTATTTTATTAATTTATTTGTATTCATTTGTAAAAGTTTGTTTTTTTTGCATTTTGTTAATAAAAATAATACAGTACAAAGCATTATAATATTATATCAAATCTATACTTTTAAAGTAGAGAGTTCTCTTTGAAGAACTGGAACTACTTATCTTATACTCATTTATCATAAAATTTAAATATTCATAATAATGTCTAAGCAATTCTATTATCTGTATTTAAAATGATAATGAAAAATTGATATTTGGAAAATCAAATCACTTTTTTTCTGTATCAATCTAATTTACAGAATTTTCTACTTAAAAAGATATATATCCTTTCTGGATCAGCAGTATGGACATCATTGTCTTCATTGAAAATATACTTACACCAGACGAATGTATTTTGTTCCTTTTTTTATATATATATTAGCATACAATTTTTGAAAAAAAATTCAGTTTTTGATTTTCACATGTTCTCTGTTTTCATATGTCTAGAAAAAAAAAAAAAAAAAAAAAAGTCTTGCTTATATTTAACCACATAATTTTCATAACAGAACAACTTTCTGTCGTTTAGGAGAATGAAATAATAACAGTGACGGGAGACAACTACTATCGCACTATTAATCTTCTTTTCTCGAGTTGACAGGAGTTGAAAGGCAATCCAAGTTCTGATAATTGCTTAATCTTTAGACGCATTTTTCAGATCGTATGAAATCAATCTATTATTACCTTAAAAAAAAAAGATCGTCTGAGAATTGACTGGTTATGGTTCTGGGTTCGAATCTCAGTGAAGACTGTAATTTTGAATAGCGGGATTTTTAGGCGCCCCAGAGTCCACCCAACTCTAATGGGTACCAGGCTTAATTTAGTTTAGTTGGTAGTAGTGCTGACCACATGACACCCTACACTTTAACTGTTGGCCAAAGAAACAGATGACCTTCACATCTGCCTAATAGATCGCAAGGTCTGAAAGGAGAAACTTTTTAAAATATCGTCTGCTTCAGGTTGTTTTTGTAATTCTTTGATTAAACTATAACCAAAAGTTGAATGAGAGAAATTGTTCCATCTTATTTTCCTCGGCCTTCAAACATGTCAATTTACGCAACCTATATGCTAGAACAGAGGTTCTCAAACTTTTTGAGTCAAAACTATATATCCCACGGAATCCTAAGTGAAAACAAAAAAGCTACATAAATGCAAAGTCTATAAACTACGAATGTAAAAAAAAATGTTGAAGGGCTGTTTATTCAAGAAATTAAGTTTGTTTAAAATAATGTTTCAACAAATTAAGGACTTGGATAAGGTTGTTGAGATTTTATGAGTGTAGCAAGGTACACGTGGGCCCGGGTTCAAGAATATGGTGGTGGGCCCCTCCGGTACTAGGAGTAAAATAAAAACATATCTAGCTATCAAGAAATCACTGTCGAGTAGAAATCGGTCTCGATGGTAATCATCGTGTTTACATTGCTTTGTTTTATTATCTAGATCTCTATGCTCGATATATAATCACACTAAGTAAATTATATAAGAATTTGATAGATTTAAAGTGCCATTGTGGGCCCCTATTACTCATGGACCCGGGTTCATTGAACCCCTTCGCGCTATGGATGCTACGCCCCTGGCTACCATTTGCCTACTGTTTGTGATAAAAATTCTAGTTAGCAGAAATGCCCAGACCTGAAATGGAGCTCGAGCCATCCCTGACCTGCTAACAATTACACCAAACAAAACATAATAATTAAAGAAAACGAAAATATACACTCCAACCATTCTCACTTATAATTTACATGTGACAAAGTTTATATCAGATAATTTCTATTTAATGATTTGATTACAAGGGGGACAAAAAAGTTTTTGTGTCTGTTTGTCTTTGCAATAGGTGTCTTGTGATGATAAAATCACAAAATCCTGACCCAAAGGGAGATCATTTTATTGATCCAATCAAATGGAAATTCAGTTTGACTACAATAAACAACCTCAGCTTAACTACTGTACTATAACAATATAGATGCAAATACGAACAACATTCAAACACGAAACACAAACACACTCATAACCAGCGCTTTATAAATAGACTTCTATGTACTTCTCGATGACGATAGATGATCTTGTAACACTCTGACTGAAAGTGAGATGAAGGAGTTTTTAAATATTTCAGTTTTAGTCCTAATGGAAAGGAGACGACCACTTCGTTCAGATCTTATGTAACAGTGGTTTTCTAGAATCTTTTAGATTTTTTATGAATGTTTGTCTCAAACAGCTGCCCAAATGGGATTTGTTTTTGCCAATTTCACCAGCAGCATATAGGATTCTATGAAGTTTATTTTTAATGTTCAGATTGCCATACAAGGCAGTGATATTAAAACTTAAAATATTGCAGATGTGAGCGTGATAAAACAATAAGCCAAGGCCTTTTCGCTAACACTAAACGAGGACATTTTTCTAAGTAATGGTAATCTTTGCTGCCTTTTTTTTTTTTTTTTTTTTTTTTTTCTGATATAATCAATATTTGTAGTAAAATTTCATGTCTTGCCTGAGATAGTACAAAGGTATTTAAAAGTTTGTAATATTTCAATGGTCTCTCTAGCGACAGAAACAATATTATTTTCGTTCTTTTCCCTACGAAAATCAATTATCATAGTCCTTCACAAATCACAATTATTATCTTGAACAGTGTAGCTAGTGTTTATTGGAATCAAAATGCAAAAGAATCAAAGAAGAAGGAGCAGAAAATAAGTAAGATAAAAAGCAGATACTAAAATAGCGCTTATCGGATAGTAAACAATAATAAATTATTCATATAGATAATTATTTTCAATACATTATTAAACTCTACACAATGCTCTTGAGGACAGCTATAACTGGATGCCCATCATGTGGCATATAATTTATGGGCCGGATTGTATAGATATGCCCGGCCGATTTTGACCCCCCTGTCCGCCCTTGCGGAATATGCAGATTCAAGGGATGCAGACAAGAGCCAGCATTTCGAATTCGATTGACCATTGGCTTATGACCATCTTCAGATAGCAATAAAGAATGTATTACTTGGAACATTTCGTGATTCTGAAAGTATCCGCAAGATAAGCGTTCTGAAAAGCGGAATTTCTTTGTGGGTTTTTTACAAAGTTTTTATCAACTTACTCTGTTTGTCTGTCCGTCTGGTAAAAAGTTTGTACACGTTATTTCTCTGACACCCAACCTCGGGTCAAGATTAAATTCTGCACAATTATTTCTTTTGCCTGACAACACAAGAATCAATTTAAAATAATTAACCAATTACTTTGTTTGGTATCTCGAACAATGGCATTAAATTGTAATTGACTTGAGTGCATATTTTTTTTTTTGCTGTCGATTGTTCTCATTTCTAAAAATCAAACTCACAATTGAATGAAATGGCTATTGGAAATGCACGTGCAGTGATCTAGCTGGTTCTCAGGCTAGTGGCGCTTGGATTGAGCTGAAACATTGGTTGAAAGAAGGAAAGACAATTGACAAGGAAACACACAAAAGCGTGTGCAATAAGACTCAGCACAGGGACAATGCTTTACAAAGAATCATTTTAATAGTACAATTTAGCACTTCATTTTTTTGGGAATGGGTCAAATTGTAAATGTAGTGGAGTGGATACCTTTTCATGAAACACCGGCCACCCGGATATCCACGTGACCCTTCCCCCTAGATGGCACCTTGTGTCCGCGTATAAAAGGGCAGACCAACGTGGGCACTGTCCATTCTACCGGCATCCTTTGTCACTGTAGTGTCCGTATGTTACTGGACCTACGTCGTCTCCACTCCCTTTTGTGCCTGGTTCTACACCATGTGTTTACGTATGGCTGCAAGTCTTGAATGTATAACAAACAGTTTGGAATCGTCATTTAGTTTGTTCTGTGCCACACCCACCGCAGAAAGAAAGTATTTGATTATTAACTTAAAGGTCTCTTACGAAATATTCAAAAACAACAAAAAAAACGAAGAACTACATGATCATTACTTAGCCAAAAGGATTGAGGAAATTCATCTGATCGCTCATGTATTCAATAAAAAAAAATAATGTTACAAATTTGAAATAGTATTCCATCAATTTGGACTGCACTTCTGATGCTGATCACAAGAGCAAATGACAGATATTGCGAATTTGCAACACCACTAGAAATCAATGGGTATTTTGTGGGATTCCTAAAACAGCAGCAATCTACAAAGTGACTGAAAATGCCAACGATCCAAAAGTTAATTCCGAAGCAACCTGACTGGGAAGAAAAAAAAATCCATTTTTGTGTACTTTAGCCATCTGGTACGATTCTTTTGGCTCAAAAACAAAAAAAAAACATCTCCACCCAGAACAGAGACGCCTGGAGGAAGTTGGTTGTGGCCTAGACCACAGGCAGCGATGAGACAAATATGATCAGAAAATTGAGCTGAAGTTGTGGATTCACTTAATGAAAAAAATAGGACTCGAAACATTTCTATAGATTCAGTCTTCGTAACGAGCTGCTTTTTGTCCTTATAGTTCGCAAACTTAAAGTTTTCCTTGACTCAATTTTGTCTTTTGACTTTTCACATAACTCATTTCTGCAAGGGCCTCTGTCTGCAGCTGCACAGATTAGGCCAGATACTACCGAAATTGACAACGTGGTCAAAAAAACAAAAAAAAAACAACTAACGAAGCAAGACGCGAACTGCTACTGTTATCTGCAGTACATTCGATGATTTATTGTCATGCATATAGTTCCTAAAGGAAAGAGGTATTAATGTCAACAATGCTCAATTGATCAGTAGGCCTACTTCAATTTGAAATCATTTACAGGACG